CTGGCGCTCCCCTGGTTTAAGAAATTTTAACTACTAACACTGTAAAGGTTACATTTTGGAGGTCCATACTTATATCTGAAACCCAGGACTCTAGCTGAACTTACGTTCAACACAACCGGACAGACAGCTCCTGGAGCATTTCTGAAGTTCGCAACCTCAGGAATTTCGCAGCCTACTCAACTTGGTATAGTCAATCTTCGCTCTTTAAGACGCCACCGATGCTGGATCGTTTTCGCTAAGCATGTGCGCTCAGCGTTTGGAGGGAAAGTTTATTAGGAAGAGTCGCTATGCGCACGCCCTAATAACAAATGTATGGAGCATTGTATGCATTCTCATACCAGGAAACTTTCACGCCGATAGTCTCGTGTGGCGGAATGATTCCAGAAGTAGTTATCAAGGCTATGATGGCAAAATACCCGTCCGCTGATTTCCGAGAGTCTCAGATCGTGAAGTCATTACAGTTGTTTGTTAGTTGATTACTCGCTGATCCTACTTGGGTGCTGTTAGAGACAAACTGGATCAAATTCTCTAAATCTTCTGTCGCAATTTGTCACGTATAGATAGGCTCACCGCGACATCACCGGTGCTAAATTGCCACGGCTCTACCAGGTCCACTTTTGGACGCTCTGGTTAAGTCAATAAATCAGATGACCATCGGTTACTTGTAGCAATGACAGAACTCGATATTATGACTATACGATAAGTGCATCTGTTTTCGCCCCGGATTTTTTCGTTTAATCCCTCGACTAGTACATCATCTAAGAATGAAAGCGACAAAGATCCCTGCAGCAATGTCTATTAGGCTTTAGCTGCGGTATTTCTCAAACCCAGTCTTATCGCTCTGTGTGAAAAAAAATACAAGGATACTTAAGTCTCAGCAGCAGAAAGAACCTTGTGGCCCTACGCTAACTCAATCACTTTATGGAGTCTGGGCGCAGAATTATCGACTCCAGACTTCCAGATTGCAATATTGATACCGCCAACCACAGACGCTCTGTTATTGCGTAGCGCTCACACGAAATAGGCAATTTCTCTATAAGAGACGGATTACACGACACGGCATAGGTCGGGAGGGAAAAACTCTGTTCCAGAGGAGAGCGATGGCGTGAATACTTCGTCATCGAAGTTGGCAGTGTGTCCAACATATTCATGCCAGCGCTCCATCTGCCTGCAGTAAATAGGTTGTTTGCATTAAAAACAGACATTAGGTGTAGGAGACCTGTTACTATCTTGCTGGATAATTTGGGAGGATTTACAAACGGTATCAATTTCTAAGGCCTGCTGTCCTCAGATTCAGTCGGGTTCTTCCAGTCAGTCAGAAGACCACAATAAGCAAACTAGTATAGATTTTTATTATCGCGCTCGTCCTCAGCTAGTATTGTTGCGTACACGACGACGGAGCTGCCTTTAAAGTGACCATTAAATCGCACTTAAAGCACCCCGTCATTTACTGGTTTTCATGCAAGTGGTGCACGGTTGGCTTGTCGTGAGAACTCAATCAACACATTATCTACAAGAAGGGGTCGCGTGGGCAGCTGTAGTACAGTGTGACGCACAGATTGACTTCTTGGATCTCTATTTTCCGAGCGCCCAATTCGACTATTCGTACTTCAGATAGGCAACATACGTTCACGGTGGCTCATCACAGTGCCGTCATTGGTCTTCGCGGTATTTTATAAGGCAGTCCGCGTGCTAGACCAGCTCTCCACGTCCTGATAACATGATCGCTTTTGGTCCGCGGCCACTTATTCTTCAGGTCCAAAAGTTTGTTTACTTCTCTGGAGACCGTCTTTATTTCTGCCATCCGTGGATACTGGACGGTCTGGAGTTACAACTTTTTGCCCTTCCATTTGTAAATTTCCGTTCATATCCTGACCCGTCTAAGATTTTAGCCACATTATTGTCATCTTACTGTTCTGAAATCATTTAAGCCAGTTCACGAACGTGTTTTTTTAATCTTATTTCCACCCGGATTTCCACTAACCGTGTTTCTTTTCTACTACAGCGACTTCCTTATTATAAAATGGAGCGTTTCAAGGCGCCCGCCGAGGCTATCGATCTCCACTACTTTTTGAAACCTCGCAATGTATTATACTCTCATTCTAACCTCTTTTAGACACCGAGTGTCCCGAAAGATCTTCCTCCCATGTGTAAGTAATAAAAACCGAAAATCAATCGCCTCTTTTTTATAGATTGCTGCCTTGGCGTCAATCCGGCAGCAGACGGCTCAGCTTATTTTGAATACGGAAACATTAAGATACTAAGCAGTGTCTGTGGACCAACAGAAGTGGGCATATCTCTTGTGTATGATTTTTAATTCTTCGTAGCTGAAACAAGAAGGCCAGCTAACGACCTCCTTTAAATTCGCTCCCTTCGCCTCCCAGATTAGGAAGGAAAGTGGTCGAGATTCTGAGGAAAAGAGACTAAGTCAACTCCTCCTTAGTGCGCTGGAGCCATCAATTGCACTGGTTAGTCATATAACCTAAAATTTCTGGCCACAGATTGTTATATTTCTCAGTTATTACTTCCTGTTCACTAGCTTTCCTTTGGAGGTACACTTGTAGATGTGTTGTCAAGAGCGCATCCTAAATACTCATGCTCTTTGGATTAGGATGTTTTTCGTCCACTCTTAAGATCCCCTGCTTCACACTCATAACTTATTATTTAGCAAATTGCATGGCATACAACCCCCAGACAACTATTCACACTTCCATATTCGGTATTTGCTGTGTCTTGAGCGCATTAGATCAATTGTAAATGGAAGGGGCTCGTATCCCTTCCCTGTTGCCATAACCATGTGCTAGATCGGACTTGAATGAATTAAATCTGTTCAACAGTTATTTGATTCTACAGCTATGGCAGTTGGAGTCTATTTTCAGATGCTTCTTGGTAGAAATGCGCAAATGTCATTAAAAAAGTGCCGATCGTTACCTTAATTTCCTTGAGAAAGCCTTTTCTGTCTAGATTGCCACGTTTCATGTTTTTTAATAGCTAAGATATATAGGCAATTCTGTAGAAATCTCTTTATGTCTGCTAAATAGTCCCTAGTGGCAGAAGTTCAACTGTCTTATTTATTCTGCCCTGCTTCTGTTCACGTAGCTCAGTGGAAAAGTTTCATTTCCTTTCAAAATAATCCTTCAGTCTAGGAGAACTTAAGACAGTGCTTCTACGTTTATTTCTCCAGCATACCTTCCCTCGTGGTAAATACCAGATAAGTGTACTGGTATTGGATGATGGAGGCGTGCCCAGCTATCAGGCCCCATCCGCTTGCCTATCTGCTGGCATAACCTGCGCCAGTCTGGCTTTAGTTCATGCCGGTGTTCAGATGTACGACATGGTCGTGGCCCTGACTTCTAATCCTCTGGATACCGATTCTTCTCCCAACGCCGCCTCCTTCTCCATTGCCGTCATGCCCCAGCTGGGCCAAATCACAATGGTTAATTCCACAGGCCTCGCTCATGGCCCTGCCCTTACTTCCTCTCTTAGAACTATCCTCGAGGGAGTTTTGGAGAAAGCCAAGCGCATGCATTCAGTCATTCTGTCCTTTTTGTCATCATCACTGGAACAGGAGAAAGATTCATCATCCCCTGAGTGATACAAATGAGCAATCGTTTGTCTCTTATAAACTATGACTTTTTGCTAAATGATTGAGGGGGGCGATCAGAGTCCAACAGTCCGGTTCCTTGTGTTTTTATGCTTCGATCGACTCAGAAATCTACGGGCCGACTTGTTGTTTAGGGCCCGGGTCGCTTATAACCTACTGGGTGGC